GCGTTCCGGCACCTTTTTCCGGGCCGGCCGCACCGGAAATAGCCCCTCCCACACCGGAAATAGCCCCTCCCAAATTTTACTTGCATTCCTGTTCTCTAAAGGGGCGGTCCTAGGGTTTGATGAGGGCGTGGCCAGGTTTGAGTTCCGCCACCTTTTCTCCGAGAAAAAAAGCCCTGGAAAAATGTATAAACCACCTCGTTTCTAACAGAATACCTGGTGATTGGATTGCTGGACATTAATGTTTTTCTTAATTTTGTATCATTTGAACTCAGGGAGAAACACTGCATTACATTTATTTCCATTCTGATTAAAATATACCTCATGTTAAAGTGTGTCCATTTTGCTTTCATTTTTAAAATTTTAATTGTGAAACAGTGGTACAAACTTGTATTTATATTTTATCTTTTCTTGAATTAGATGTAACATGCTTGCAACAGGAATAATTTATCAGAACGCTGTTAAATATTCTTTAATAAACACTGCTGAGTCAAAAATCAAGGCCTGGTTCATCTTTCTAATAGTCTTCCTCTCATTGCCAATATTTTTAGAGTTTCTGAAATTCTTTAGTATGTTCTGTTTTCTCCCTATTTTATCAAGATTCTTCTTCATAATATGAATTCAGATTATCAGTGATCTATTTACAAACAACTTCATAACATCAAACAGCCAACCAGAATTATTACTAAGATGTTAGGGCAAGAATGCCAATTCATCATAAGGGAATGTTTCCTATACAATATAGTATGATGTGGTCTTCTATCTTGATGACTAGAAATAGAGAAGGCTTGAAGAGCAAATTGGAGAAGAAAGAGCAGTGGTGGCTAAAAATGCAATACAAGTGCAAGGCAATAAAATTGTTCAAACATATGTTTTACTCTGTCATCTGGATACAGGGTTGGAAAATCAGGTGCATTTTTTTCAGTTCAATCCTTCAATTTATCTCTTTACTTATACAAGAAAGTTCATGTTTATAAATATGTTCTTTCTCTTATATACAGTGCTACCTCGGTACTCATCGTTAATTGGTTCTGGGAAGCGCGACAAGTAGTAAAAACAAGTGCCAAACAAACCACATGACTTACCATATGACCAGTTATTTTGGCCAGGAAGGACTTTCTGTCTGTCCCTTTTCCTATGTCAGTGACCTTTCCAGCATGGCTGACTTCCTGTCCATTCTCTGCGGCCTTCCCCCTTTTCCTATTGCAGTGTGTCAAGTACCAAACAACAAGTACTAGAACAACAATTTCTCATCAAAATGCATCTATACCAAATTCAATGAGTTCTGAAGCAATTAAATACCGAGGTACCACTGTACTATTGAAAGTAAAATTCAACTGCATGTCTTCCATGGGTTGTGTGATTTCAACATATTATTTTTAAAATAATAATAACTAATAAAATTCTAGATTAGAGAGAACACATTGGTGTGATGTGAAAAAAAAACACTGTTCAAAAAATATGGATTAGCATTGAGGATGAATCAGTCCATAGTAAAAAACAAATCAGTATTTTTGTGTTTCCCTTCTCCCTTTCTCTCATGTACATGTATATAGCATTACATGAAAGCTATCCTTGCACACAATGGGACAACTCACCATGATCAACTCACCATGGCCAATTTGCCACAGCCAACTAGCCGCAGGGCAACTTGCCACAGGACGATTCAACAAATATAAAAGTTACATTAATTTCAAGAGAACTGTGGTCAATAATAATATAATAAAAAATCAATCCATAAATACAAGAGTTACAATAATTTTGATGAAAATGTAGTTACCAATAATAAAACTAAATGAAACAATTAATACAGCTTTGAATTGTCCTGTGGTGAGTTGTCCCATGGTAATTGGCCATGATGGGTGCCTAAAATGTGATCACATGACTGTGGGCAAGCTTGAATCTGGGTCATTAGTGCTGAGGCCCTAAGAAGGTCTGTGGTAATTTCAACAGTTGCTAAGCGACCAGTCTTAAGTCGAGGACTACCTATATAAGTACATTATTATGTCCTTTTCTGTTGCAGGATTGAGAAGCATCATTCTTCTAAAGCTAGTAGTTGCTCTGAGAGATTATTATCATTAATGATCAATCTTCTAAAGCAAAGAAATCTTAAATTATTCCTCTAAAATCTTCAGTCCTAATAATTATTAGCTTCTACTTTCATTCCTGGTTAATAGCTTTTTCACTGTAATAATTAGCAATTAAATGCAAAGAAGCAGTTAACAGTATTTACAATTTGACTAGAAGATGATTTGCAGTCAGAACAACTTCCCTTTTAGTATGCATCATACAAGTACCTAATTCCTGTACCTTTAACTGCACCTTTTTTTACTTATTGTTTGGCTTTATTTGTTATTTATTTTATTTATTAAATTTATTTGCCACCCATCTCATTTTGAAGCAACTCTGGGCAGTTTATAGCAGTAAAAGCATTAAAATAATAAAAGATAAATATTTTTAAAACAATAAAAATGGAAATTACAATGAAAAATGGAATTATAGTTAAAAGAGTAAGCAGGATGTGGGGGGGGGGTAGGTGGGATCACCTCTCATCATCAACCACCTCTAGTGTGAAGCTCTCCCGTGGGGGCCCTTATCCATCTGGCAGAGCCAGGTGTTCAGGCCCTTCCAGAAAAGTCAGAAGAGTGGGAGGTGATCTCATCTCAGAGGTTAAGTTGTTCCAAAGGGCAGGAGCCATGGCAGAGAAGGCTCTTCTCCTCAACCCCACCAGCTGGAATTCCTTGAGTGATGGGGCCCACAGCACGCCTCCTCTGCTGGCGTGCGTGGGTTAGGCCAGTCCCAGTGGGATGATATCTACTTTTCCATGGAGCATGTGGTATATGCTAACTCAATACAGAACCAGCTGCTCTTTTCAACAACTGTATCAACGTTCACATGATAGCCATTCATGTTATACCAGTACTGATTAGACTTTATATCTCATTTTTAATCTACCTCATCTTATAAAAAAAGAGAGCAATTATTGTCAAATTGCAGTTCTAACTAATTTGGCTTCAAAATCTTTAGGAAACAGAGGCTATTACTGAGCTTCTTGTTAATCTCTATTCACCTATGTGCTACAGCATATATAGTTTTAGAAGAAAAAGAAAAAATAATAAAATGCCTGAAAAACATCTGTTCTATATTTACATGTTTATTAAAGTATGTTTAATATAGAGAATACTTTTACCCTGCAATATAACCCCTTGTTGAATTGTTGTTCTTAATGTTCTTCTACTGAAGAGTAAGAAGAGAACTGTGACAAAGGTAATTCATTTCTAATCTTACCACATCACTATTTCTTGTTTGATTAATAATAATAATAATGATGATGATAAAGTTGGAAGGGACCCCGGAGGTCATCTAGTCCAACCTCCTGCTCAGGCAGGAAACCCTATACCATTTCGGACAAATGGCTGTCCAGTTTCTTCTTAAAAACTTCCAGTGTTGCGCATTCACTGCTTCTGGAGGCAGGTTGTTCCACTGGTTAATTGTTCTAACTGTCAGGAAGTTTCTCCTTAGTTCTAGGTTGCTTCTCTCTTTGGTTAGTTTCCACCCGTTGCTTTTTGTCCTGCCTTCAGGCGCTTTGGATAATAGCTTGACTCCCTCTTCTTTGTGGCAGCCCCTAAGATATTGGAACACTGCTATTATGTCCCCCCTCGTTCTTCTCTTCGTTAAACTAGACATACCCAAATCCCAAAAGCTGCAAAGTAATTATATCTGTAGATGTTTTCCATCAAAAACAAACTTTATTTATATATTTATTCAAATTTATAGGCTGCCTGACTCTCAAATTACTCTGGATGTCTTACAGCTAAAAACCAACTAATTAAAAAAAATGCAACTAGAAGACCAAAGACAAAGAACCAAACCCACAAAACCAAACCAAACTGGAGATCCCCAAGGCCTGGAAGAATAAGCAGGTCTTCAACAATTTTCAGCTGAGCAGAGATTATTATTAAGTTAAGATATCCTTTTCCTGAAATGACAGCTGCGGCATCCATATTGCAAGTCACACTTAATGTATGCTCAAAAAAAAAACTATGAAAAAGTATACATACCCAACATGGCTACAATCCCGATATGGCAGCACTGAAAATATGCTGCAGCAGGATCTTCTGCCACTAATAAGGACTATTCTAGAAGGCAAACAAGATAAAGGATATGATCTAAAGTAGAATATCCAGCAATTCAGAATGGTCTCATAAACCTACTTCTCACTCTTCTTTTTCTTTCATGTTACCTTGCTATTCCTGTTTTTGCTCTATGTACTCTACATGCCATTCCTTCCTCCAGGTTTCCCCAAAGTAAAATCCTGTGAGGTAGGTTAGCCTTAGGGATAGCTCAAATCACCAAGTGAGCTTCCAAGGCTGGGGATGATTATGAACTTAGCCCTCACAGGATCTGATACAACACTTGAACTCCTGCATGATCACAATGCTTATCTATTATTTTCCTGTGGGCAAAGAATTTTCAAATGTCAAAATCCATCTTTCCCTCCTCATTTAATAACATCAGATGCAAGTCCAAAGTCTGAATTTGTAAAACACAAGGACAGCTTATCATCTCCTTTTGGAAGGGGCAGCCAGTCCTTTGAAAGAGTGTAGCATTAATTATATTATTAGTGGGAGAAAAGGAGGTCTATTCTCTGTATTTCAAACAAGCACAACCAATGCAGAACAGAATACTGTAAACATTATTAACACAAGCTTTAAAAATGCTATGTCTAAGAAACAATGAAAGTACAGACTGGACAGGAGATAAGAAAGATAAGAAAGTAAGGACTTGGCCCTAGGTCAGTTCTCCATAAAATTTTCAGCAAAACCCCCAATCTAGCTGTCATATTTTTGTCTCTTTCATTATGTTTAAATATCTGACAAGGTAATCCACAGGAAGCTACTAATGTGACAGCTGATTATCTTTTTTTAAAGCAAAATGCTGTGCCAGAGATGTTTGAGAAATAAATGATTTTTTCTGCCCGTGTTCATAAAGATAACAATAGGTAAATCCTGCTTAGCAGATGACAGTACAGATATTTAACAGCTACCAAATCTAACATCAAACAGATGGCTTCACTATTTTCTGTTTTCTTTCAAAAAATAAAAGTACTACAATTTAGAAGAGACATTAAACTTACAACAATAGTCTGATATTCTAGCCTGTTCAAACTATGCAATCTAGTATCAAAGTATGCAATGAAATTTTGCAAAGTTTCTAACTGAGAACACAGGTGGCACTGTAGTAAATTACTGCACAGAATGACTGCTACGTTAGATGCTAATCTTTTAGGAATGTTCATTTAATCCATAGGAATTGTACTTCAGGAAGCATTAACACTGAACTTTCATTCACCCTTTAGTTAACTAGGTATTACTCTGCACTGCTGATCATGAACTACATATTTTAATTGCAAGAAGAGTGGAAAAAGCATAAAGGAAAACGCAAGGACAGCAATCAAGAGACTGGTCATATCATTTTTAATTAAAGTATTCATGACTATGATCATCACATCTGGACTGCAAAAACCTGTGCAGTGATTGGATGAGAATAAAGAGTAAGAATCTCCCTACTACCTACTCTTTGAATTTTTTGAACGGTACTATGCTTACTCATAACAAAGCTCAATATCTAACTGAAGTTAGCAAAAGAAACTCAAGGTATTACACTAGCCTTACTTATTAGAAGCAGTTGACCACAGGAAAGGGTTTTAAAGAATCTTTATCTAAAGTTCTTTAAAGGGACGCATACAATAGAAATACCTCTGTGAATGTGGTAGTAAGGAGTAGGAAAATCAAATAGTAGGGAAAGAGAAATAATTCACTAGAAGAAACTCTGGCAATCAAAACCAACCATGCTGGACTAGACAGGAAAACAATCTTTCTTCGTAGAAACCAGTCTGCCATGTTATTATATAACAAATGCTCTAGTCTCATTGTGAAATAATGCTTCTAAACTAAAGACCTTCCGTTGTTAGTCATGTACTGAAGTCAATCTTGCAGCAAACTGGCAATACAAATGGATAAAATAAGGAAGCAGATTTCATAAATACAATTCCTTATTTCTAAGGATTTGGAAGTCACTGCTGACTGACTTCAAGCTATTCAATTATTCAGAGATATTTTAGCATTGAAACCAAATGTTTGTAAGACATCTTCCCCTCTTGTATGCCCAGTATGCATTTGTACACCATCAAATAAGTTAGGTGGTCATTTATCCTATCAATTTCACAATTTCTCAAGCACAAAATAAGAGACACACATTCTTTACACAATTATTCCAGGCACAGTGTGCTCAGGTTTCATTTCCTAGTCTTCAACTCCAATAAGTTGCTATTGCTCAATCATTGAAATCAGCAGTAAGCTTCAAGACAACTGTTGACTATTCCCTACTGCATTGAAGAGTTCCATTGCCTGTTATACTTCCTGGTTCAACTGTAAAACATAGGATTTTATTACTTCTGTTTTTATTATGTTGTAGACCACGGGAACCTATCAAGCTGTTATTGAGAATAATGATGCCTATCATCTTGTACTCCTGTAAATATCTCTTATTAGCTGGATACCTAGGGCTATCAAAATAGTAAGCTTGATTTCATGCAAAGATTTAATCTTCATATTACTATGAATCAAGCTTGTTCATGTACAGAAGAGATTAGCACAGCTACAACCTTTGGTAAATAGATTGTATTGATAAAGACTAACAAGCATTTATAGTTGTTGAAACTGCGTGAAGAGACTCAGTATCTGTTGCAGATATTTGCCGCAAATAAAACTCTCCGGCTCACTTGTTCTATGGATGGAATACAGAACAGAAGATTTTAAACCATTACTCTCAGGTTAGTATTCTGCAGTTATACTGGGTTAAGAGTTCCTCAAATTCCCAACCAACACAGGAGTGGCCATGATGGTTGGAAATGTTATATTTTGTGCTTCAATACATCTGGATAGACAGGCAGATAAAATGTATATTATTTATAATTTAGATTTCTATAAGTTGACCCACTCAGCATGGATTATGGGCAATATACTATTAAAACCAACACAATAACTAAAACACAAGTGAGCTAATATGAAATAGAGCTACATAGAACAAGGCAAACAATGTACTATAAGCAAGGCAGATTATACATACAATGAGCGCAAAACCAACCTTGGGGAAAATGCCATTTTCAAAAGATTATCTAAAGATTAGCAGGGTCATGGCGGCCAAAATCTCTGGGGCAATGTTATTCCAGAAGGCAATGTTCATAACAGAGAAAGCATGCTTTCTAGTTCATAGGAGCAAGCACCGCAACAACAATTTTTTAAAACATGTAGCTCAACTTGCTGATCAGCATACATAAATAATTCTCCATCAATTTGCTTGAGGATTTTATTTGCAGAGTTCTTCCATATGAAAAATGTACAGTTCTGAATTTAGAATCCCACTTCTATATACCTCCCCCCAAAAAATAAATAATCTGTTCTCATTTCCTCTATTCATGTGTTATTCCAATTATATGGCATTTTTCCTGAAAAATACCTGCCACTTCTCGTATCATTTTGCCGCATGTTCTTGATGAAATGAATCTTCTTAAAGTTCTTTGGTCTGGGTGAGCCTGACAGAGTCCGGCATCTAAAAAATAATGATGTTGAAAAAAATTAAATTCTTTCTGTATAGCTGAATCTCTTAGCACAAAAACAAGAATGCAATTATTCAAGTTACCCCTTCCCTATTAAAATTAATGAATTTATAGCAATAACAGAGTGTAGAAATAAAAAAAGTTACATTAAAAACATAAAACAATGTATTTAAAAATGAAATATAAAACTTCTTGGATTATGCTGTAGCTGTCATTAAGAAAGCTGATTGCAAAAGAACACAGCATTTTTTTTTTCTCACAGAAGAATTTTCTGATTATGCATCTTAAAGTATGTGTTATCATTTCTAGGTTTCAAAATATTTGGGAGTGAAATTCTGGCTCATATAAACAACTCTAGACACATGAGATTTTCCAAATATTGTTTCTGCCTTCCTTTTTTTGTTTTTCCTTGGCCAACAATATCTCAGAAATGTAATAGAGTTGATATCTTAGGGGTTATGATGATATAAAGAATACTAATTATAACATTAATTTTAAAACCAAGATAACAGCAAAAAACTCCTTTCTTTTAAAGAAAATGTTACACAATATGTTGCTTATTAGTGAATAACCACCCATCCAAAACTGTTTTTTGTATTTATATATATATTGGGGCTTAGTAAAAACAATATTCTTGGAAGTGGGATTGTTAATTTCTGGACAAACTAGTTTATTTTTGTAGGATGAAAAGGAAATGTCTTTCAGAGGAAAGACTCCTATCTTAAGAACAGGAAATTACAGACCTAAAATAATTAAAGACAAGCATTTACACGATCCAGTGGACAACTAAAATTAGTTATTTTCCTATCAACATTCCAAATGGCAATACTTTAACTCAAAATGCTCTGGGTTTTCTGTACTGAGGAGTTGGGGAAGGGAGAAAACAGCTATGCGAAAAGTTATGGGATTTATGGGACTCTGCTCAGAGTAACATTTTGTGAGATGGGTAGCTATATAAATTTGATAAATAAATAGTTGAAATTTATGCAATACTTAACTTTTTTGTATTTTATAAAATGTATTACTTCTAAATAAATTGTGTTTATTTAAACAGTAATAAGCATTATTGATGTGGATTTTTACACATCTATATTTTATACAAATAGAACTACAAACTGCTGAACTGTAAGAAAAGTAGTTAGCTGTTAGCATCTCTTATTTTCGTCTATTTAAGAGAAACTGGAAACTATTTTGCTAACTATTTCGCTGATTTTTAGTAAAAAGAAAAAAGTTTAAGAGAAAAGACTAATACTACTGCATTTTAATACGTAATTTGGCACTGATGTGGATATTAGTCCTGAGTTCATGCATTTGAACCACAACTGATCACAAGATACACAAAACAACATATAAACTGTATATCCCTTCTGGAGACATTATACTGCTAATTATACTTATTTCCATAATTCTAATTTGCTCTCCTTGTAACATCTTCCTATTGCTTTTGGCAATCGCAATGGGTTCCAATTAAAAGATACCTCACTGTGAACAAAACACTACTGGAAATATTGCCTTAAATAAATGATATGAAATATTAAACACTATTTCTTTTGCCATCTATACATGTATTTGAATAATGTATAATGATATTTTTAATATTCTTGTGAACGTGCAGTTACTTACATTTTTGTAATTGTGCACTAATATTTTACTACTAGGAAAGTGGTAGATTTTGTCATTTGTGTTTTTGCTTTAGAAGACAGAAAAGACAAACCTTTTCAGTTCAGTTTAAAAAATAATGAATTGATAAACTTAAGCCCATAAAGATGATACAGGGAATTACATAACAATAGTTATGTATTTTTCTGTTTTTTAATTTGAAAAATAAATTTAAAAAATTATAAAAAAAATAATTATGTATTTTTCAAAATACAGGAACTAAGAGAAGTGGTCATTTCAAATTTTTCAACTGGTGATTCTTTTTGCCTTTTATTTGAAACAATGGAAGCAAGAGTTACTATGGCAGGTTACATAATTAAAGTCCCCACACCCATACAAATACTAAAAAAATAGAAGAGGCATTAAACTCAAGGATTTCTCCAATTTTTCTTCACTTCAAAGAATATACACACACACACACACACACAATCTGGCTAATGATAGGAAGAGATGTGCTACCCAGGTAATGGATTAGCACTTGCCCCTCTTCATCAGCCAGTAATCAGCAGTTTCCTCTGAAAAAATTTAGACCTTAGTCTTTAGATCAGTGGTTCTCAATCTTTTTAATGCCGCGACCCCAACCGGTCGTAAGTCAAGGATTAAACCAGTCGTAAGTCAAGGACTAAACCGGTCATAAGTCGAGGACTAAACCGGTCGTAAGTCGAGGACTACCCAACCGGTCGTAAGTCGAGGACTTTCCCTGCCCGTGAGCGCTGCGCATGCGTGGTTCCGCCCCCTGCGCCGGCCGAGGCGTAGCTGGCAAGCGGCAGAGACAGAGCAGGCCGACCACGAGCTGGCCCAGCCCAAGGGAGGTAAGGCACCCGCCAGAAAAGGGAAAAAAATGGCGGACAAAAAAATGGTGGACAGCCTTGCTTGGCGACCCCCGTGAAATGGTCGATCGACCCCAACCCACAGGTTGAGAACCACTGCTTTAGATCATCAAATAAAACTTCTGCTGGATACCGAATCACAACCTTAACCCCAAGACAGATTACAATAAATTTTAAATAATAAGATACAGAGCACTCAAGCCTTTCTTTTAATGTGCTCAGTTTATTTTACCAATCCAGATTCTCTACCACTGATGGCAACTTATGTCAAAAAGACCTTTTTAATTAATTCTTGATTATGATGTGTATCTAGAACAATGAGGCACACTTTGCTTGTTTTCTTTTCCCTCCCCAATAAAAGTGAAGTGACTGTGCATACACATCCATACAGAGACAGCCAGGAACAGCAGTGTTCTCAAGCACCCCTTTCTGAATAAAGCAGAACTCTATTAACTATGATTAATCTCCTGCCCTAGTTTACACAGTGTTTGGCTGAAATGCTGCACAATAGACTTGTGATGTAGAGCACAAATTCTATAAGTACACACACATTGGGGACAGATTAGAAGTAGTCCTTCTCTTTTCCAATAATATTTGATTATATAAATTATCTTTGTTTCTGGATCTGTTAATAATTTTAGGTTTTTGCTTTCAAGTGATATGGACAAAAGTCATTAAAATAGTTTTAGAATTATCGGCCACGGAAAAGTCCAAATTGCACTTTAAGAACTGTTTCTATATCTCATGCAATTCTATTTCCCTCAAATTCTTTTTTCCATGAAGGCCTTGGAAAAGATATTCAGATGGTGGGATAAGTCTTTATCTATAAAGATAAGAATCACGCAAGCCATGGTATTTCCTGTGATATTATATGAAAACAACAGCAGGATAGGAAAATATTGACTGACTTTTTGAATTTTGGTATTGCAGAAGCTTTCTTGGAGTACCGTGGATAGTCAAGAAAGTAAACAAATTGATCATCAAACAAATCAACCCAGTGTTCCTACTTGAGGCACAGATAATCAGAATCAAATTATTCTAGTTGGACACATTATGCAAAAACCTAGTTCTCTAGAAAAGGCTCAAGTGCTGGGAAAGATGGAAAGAAAGAGAATAGGATGACCAGCACAAGATGGAGGGACTCCGTTACTATGGTGATTGGTTTACTGTTAAAGACCAGGTTACGGATAGATGGTCATAAACAAAATCCACGTGGTTGCTAAGAGTAGCCAACAACTTGATGGCACATAATCATTCAATCCACCCATCAATCTATCTATCTATCTATCTATCACACCATATTCTTGGTAAATAACAAAGAAAGTTTGGAAAAAATATTTAGAGCCTCTGACATGTCTATACCTGCAAAGATCAGTATTATGCAAATAATAAGTTTCTCTTTGATACTCTATGGAAGTGACAGTTGGCCTTTGAAGAAGCAAGATAGGAAGAGTATTGATGTTTTTGAACTTTGAAGTTGGAGAAAACTCTGGAGAGTATTATAGACAGCCAACAAAAGAAATAAAATAAAAAACATAGAATGGATCATAGAATCACCCCAGAGTTTACCACTCAAGGCTTAAACTCTTATACTTAATATTATGTTGTTGCACAAACAGTAACTTAGTCTGGGAGAAAAAAACCCCTAAGAAATAAGCATTCAGAGTAATTCAAAGAGACTCTGCCTTAATTAACTCACTATGAATGAGGACTAGAAATTCCTTTTACAGTTTTCAAAGTCATGTCTTTACTCCAGACTGTGTTAAATATATCTCACTGAAAACAGTACAATTTTTGCTCCCTTGATGTTGCTGAGTTGCAAAGCATTTGACATACTAAATAAACAAAAACTGACAGGAGTGTAACAGATAGAAACAATCTTCTTCTATTAGGGCTTTGTGAGTTTCTAGAACTCGTTTCCTTATGTTTTTTTGTTCTTCCCCTGAAGTTAGCATAAGAAAGAGATGAGACAAACCATACTTTTCTCTTGCTGTACAAATTATAGGTGCTTTAAAAGAAAGTAGCCTGAAAATTGCTTTTGAACGGTATTTATATGGCAGCTGTATAAAACATGATTAAACGAGCAAAAAAAAACCAAAACCCAGTTACTAAAGGAGATACTTAGTACTTCTTCACATGTTCTTCGTTTATATATTGGTAATAAGAACAAGGTGTGATGTAGTAAAGCTGGCTTCAAATTGAAGTTGGAGTAAGGAGAGAATATGTAAGTATTTAATTGCAAAATGCTTGACACATTTTTTTCGTAAATAGGGTTTTTTTCCTTAAACCCTAGAAAGAATCTGGAAACGATAAATATGTTACAAAAATGGGGATTTATAGAAACTTGACAAGAAAAACCAAAGCGCTTTAATTAGAAGGTTAATTAGAAAGAAAAGCTAATTGACATGGTCTATGTAAATGTTAGGTTCTATCTTATGAGATTTTTAGGGATTTCTTTTTTTGAAAGGTACTCCTTAATCCTATGTAAGCCACTTGTACTTGCAATATAGAAATTGGATAAAAATATCTTATTTATTTAATTAATTAAACATAGAGGCCACCTGACTCCAGATGATTTGGGACATTTTACAATTAAAAATTAGAACGTAACATAAAACTGAGCCAAAAAAAGAATCACATACATCTAGAAAACATACAACATGAAAAACAACAACAGGGGCTTAACAAACACCTTAGATCTAAGCTTGAGACACCAACCACGTCTTCAAGGACTTCTGGATTACCTTTAGAGTGGAGCCATGATAAATTAACTGAGTAAATCAATCAATAAATATTTTGGGGCATTTAAAAGCATTTGACAAAGCGTCCACTAAAAACGTTTACGTTGACTTAGCTGTCATGGGATAAAACACAAAATCGTCTTAGGGTTCTTAGTTAAAGAACAGCAAAGAGGAAAAATAAATGATTTATTTTTGGAGGAAAGTAAAGGATAGGGTTTCAACTTTACTAGAAGTATACTAATTATCTAGAATTAGGAACAAGCAATGAGTTGGTTAAGTCTACTGATGAAATAAAATTGTTTTAAGATGATTAAAATCAAGAAACAGCAAAGTATTCTAAAACTTTGTTTTGCAATCTAAGAAAACTGAGATATATAACAGGGCAAAATACCTCCAGGCCACCAATTTCTAAATATGGTTAACTCATGCATTTGCAAGGCTAAAGGGCAAACAATATCCCAGCAAAGTAGATAAAATGTATTGCAGCAAGCAATTTTCCTAAAATCAGTAGTGCTTCCTCAAACGGTAGTGCTTCTTGCTTTAACATGGGTGGTCAATTTGTGATTCCATGGCTGTATGAGCACAAAACCCTTTCTCTCCAGAGGTCCTGGAATCTCTTCTGATTATGAAGTTAAACATACACGGGCCAGTTCCCACCAAGAGGTGGGAAATGCTAGGACAGCTCTAAGTCATAAAAGGCTATCCACTCCCGTGAAATAAAAACTAGTTTAACTTTCTCTTAATCTTCTCCAAAAACTTTCTTACATTTTTCCTAACCCCTGAAATGAAGGCAGTAATGACAGAAGGCTCTTGGTTTATCTCATCTCCAAAACATACACCCCAACAAGATTTGCCTACTCTGATTTTTTATTTGATTTGGTGCCCAGTGACAACCGTTTGTATTTTTTGGTGCCGGTTCTGAATTAGCACATCTCTTTTATATTTGTGATTTTTTGCTTTTTCAGATTACTGCTTGTTCTGACTATTAGTTATTTAGCTAATCTGAGGCTCCTTTGATGAAAAAGGATATAAACTCTAAAGTTCATGATAACTAATAGTACCATTCATTCCTTTTATCATACAATTAAGAACTCAGATATGCCTGCCTTGAGCTTTTCCATTTAATCGTCTTGCATAAGAATACAAAAATATATCTAGTACCAGAATGAATTCTGAGAAACATCACACAATTAAGGATTTTGTTCTCACACTATAGTAAGTTACTGCACAGATCACATATATTACATAATATGTGAATGACAAAACAACATACAGTACACAGTATAAATCAGAAAAAAAACTCACCTCCTTAAGGGAGCATTTTCCTCAATGTCTTCCAAAGTCTCCAATGAAGATCTCTGGGAAATTAGCCGACGTCTCTCAAGGGAAAAAGAAAGAAAGAAATTAAATTTTTGAACCTTATGCAAATTGAGGAAGTTTGGAATAGCAACAGCTTAATGGACATAAAGTGGCAGATATGCTGTTAAAGATGTAAAATACTAATAAAACAATACTTTTTATTCAAACTGGTATTCCTAATTCCTCTATTTTAAAATGGTTATACTTCAACCTATTTTAATATAAAATCATAGTATTTTTTAAAGAAAAGCTAAGATTATTTAGACATAAACCATTCTAGAATGTTCCTACAATAGAATGTTCCTACAACAGAATACATACAAATTATACAATCATGTTACAGATCTTATAAAAAAATGTAAGCAGACCAGCTGATAGAAAAAAATAATAAAAGATTTCCATGTCAATAAATTGTTCTTCAAAAAATCTCCTGTTTACAATCTGCCAATCAAAAGAAGATTTGTGTCCGCACTCTCTCCTCTTCTCTGCTTTTGGATCCTCAACCTAACTGGTTTACATGGTTATGATTCTGGTTTAAAGCCTTGGTTGGAGGGATGTATTGTTTTTTGCATTAATCAGTACGGTTAGTGAGCACCATTGGGAGTATCAATTTGGTTGTTAAGTGAAGTGGTCGCTAAGGGGAATCACAATTGTGCTTACAATCTAATGTCAGTTTTCTGTTGCTTTACAAACCTGTGAAGGTCGTAAATGTGAGGATTGGTTACTTTTTCATTACCACTGTACAAAATAGTGGATAAACAAGATAGTTGCTAAGTGAGACTTGCTATTTCTGTTTCTATTTCACACATCACACTAAACCTGCAGATTGAGTTTAATAAGCAATAGATATGAAAAACACAACCTCCTTCTAATTGGGACAACAAGGCAGAATTAAACAGTGAAACTCAATTATATATTATACAAAATTAAGACTTAAAATGTTAAATTTTTCTTCAATTTTCTGCTCATGAAAAAGGAGCAAAACATGGATTGGATGTATCCACATAATGGTAGTCATATTCTGGCATATTAAATCAGCATCTAGATTTATTTTGCATGGAAATGAGGTAATTCACAAGCATATAAGGGAAAGAATAAAAAAAGGAGGTACAACCACATAAATCAGATATGTCAACACAAGGCCCGCAGGCTGGATGCGGCCCATGAAGTGGTTTCATGTGGCCCGCAAAGCCATCCTGGAAACAGTGAGGGAATGACCCCTGCTGCCTTGGCCCTGGCCCAGGCCAGCCGGGAGCCAATGTACAATTTTGTGGTGGTCATCTATGCTGAAACGTATTCAGTCTTAGCTCTACAAGGCCGTCTGGAAACAGCGAGGAACCAGCCCCTGCCATGTCGGCCCCATCCCCTGGGTGCATGCTGGGGAAGTGTCACCCTTTGTGAGGAATGAAGAAATGCACCATCGCCTGGAAGTGGCCAGCAAATGGCCCTCACCTACTTCACATATCTGGCTTGATGGGCTCCAGGGGAGGGGTTTCGGCAAGCAGCGGGGCGCTCTCCTCACAGCGCCAAGAGGCTGAGTCAGGCGGCGCAAATCCAAAAAGAAGCGCGATGCCGCCTAGCCCGCAGCCTGCCCGGTTTTGGCAGGTAGCGGAATGCTCTCCTCACAGCACCGAGAGGCTGAGCCAGGTGTTACAAATCCAAAAAGAAGTGTGAGGCCGCTCAGCTACCAACCTGCCCGGTTTCGGCAGGCAGCGGGGCACTCTCCTCACAGCACCAAGAGCTGAGCTGGGTAGCACGAATCTGATGAGAAATGCAATGCTGCCTAGCCCCCAGCCTGCCCAGTTTCAGCAGGGAGCAAGATGCAAAGCTGGCAAGCGTCACACCTCCCAGCTCAACCTCTCGGCGTTGTGAGGAAAGCGCCCCACTGCCTGCCAAGATTGGGCAGGCTGGGGGTGGCGGCGCACTTCTTTTCAGATTCACGCCACCTGGCTCAGCCTCTCGGCGCTGTGAGGAAAGCGCCCCGCTGCCTGCCGAAACCGGGCAGGCTGGGGGCTGAACAGCATTGCGCAGGTAACATCGATTCTCATGTTGCTCATGGTGTCCCCTCCCCCAGAGCCCACCAAGCTAGATATATGAAGTAGGTGAGGGCCATGTGCTGGCCACTTCCAGGCGATGGTGCATTTCTTCATTCCTCACGAAGGGTGACACCTCCCCAGCTGTGTTTCTTGCGTGTTTTTCTCCCTCCCTCATCTCAAATATTTTCCAACCACTCTGTACTTAGGAAGGAAGGAAGGAAAGAAGTAAAGAAGGAGAGGGAGGGTCTTGCCCTGCTGCCCTTTCACCATCCCCTTGCCCCCTCCTGGGGTCTCCCATCCTACTGCTTAGGAAGCTTTGGATACAAAGCCGGGTCTCCTCCCATGGAGAGGGAATGGGCCTCCCTCTGACTTTGCCCTCGGACATCCATCATGAGCAACCTGGCTAAGGAGAGCAAGCACAGCAGCCTTGAGGAGGAGGTAAGTGCAGCTGGGCACCTCCTTGGGGAAGTGGGGCTGGGCTTGGTGCCACGGGTGCTCGAGGGCCAGCCTGGGCGTTTGACCTCTGGGCAGCCCGTGCCATCATCCATCCCCCGCCGCATGGCCTGAGAGGAACAGTGAGGCTCCTCCAGTGGACCATGCTTTGGCACTTGCCCTGGTCCCACCCCCTTCTGCCAGAGACCCTCAGATCTGTCCCACTCCTGCCCAGGCCCCCACAGGCACCCTTGACGCGAACGATGTAGAGCTGGCCATGCCCACCCAGTAGGCCACACCCACTCCATCCATGCCCATCCAGTAGGCCGCACCCATCCTGGCCACACCCACCCAGCCCCCCCGAGGGCAACCACAATGCTGATGCGGCCCTCAATGAAATTGAGTTTGACACCCTTGACATAAATGATAATTTTTGAAACAGTCCAATGGAGCTAAAGCACACAGGTGGGAAAGAGTAGCCTAAATCTTTCATTTAGACCAGAAAATAATTTGCTATCTGAATGCAGTCATTATGGAAATGAATTCCATGCAATTTTTGCTCAAACTACATTTGGGTATACTGGTTCATTCTCAATGCAGAATTGTATAATACAGTATGAAAACTACTTTCTGGAAATATTACAAATGTCTTTTTATTTCACTATAATCCATTAATATCCAATGGGAGATAAAAATATACAACAATAATAGCAGTGCATTTAATTGACTAGTTGTCTGACCATATAAAGAAGCTACCAAACGGATACAGAAAAAACATCGCTCATGGAGTCAATCCCACTCTGGTCTAAGTAATTATCCTCATCAAAATGGCCTTTGATACAAAAATTACAGTCTTGGTAGCGATATGCAGATTCACTCTCTATAAGAAGTAAAAATTTCTTTTGGGGGTCCCAATATTTTTTTATTTGTAAATAAGTGTTTAAGTAAACAGTCCTTTCTACAGAATAATCTGTAATTGTAATCAAATAGGATATAATATGTGTGATGTCTTCAACACCTGGTGCATCATAGATACACAATCTTTCTTCAAATGAAACTTTTCATACAGTATCTTACCATGGTATCTAGTTGTTAAAAAAAAAAACCTCTAGAGAAAAAGCTGTTGTTGGGGTATGTAAGTTGTTAAATACTTTCTATCTGGGAGGTGATTTGTGTTGAGCCAGTCACTTCAAAGACATTTAAGGAATGTAATATCATCTTGGGCAGCAACATCTAACACCTATGGCTTTAAGCTTTCTCAGTCTTGTCTGATTGGACTGAGAAGTAGTCAGCGAAACCATATTGTGAGATGGCATTTGAAAGTTGGACAGTCCAAATACAAGGAGACCTATTAAATGCCTTTGAAACACAACTAGAGCAATTTATCTGGATTCATAAATTTAGTCTTCAGCCAGGAGTTGAATAATTTTAACTACTAAATGATTTTGTATAGGGGATATATCCAACTCTGCCCTTACTGCTCAAATTGGTTTGGATCTGTATACCCCCAAAGTATCTTTCAGAAAAATTGAGTGTATAGTTCTGATAAGGGAATATTTATATACCCTTACAGTTCTCGAGCACTGTAACCACTGAAACTATGTTGCTCTTGCATATAATTTATGATTGGAATTAGAGAACCAGGATGGTCTAAAATATGTAAAAGCCAAGCACACTGTTCCTTGCTAATGTTAAGAAATCAATAAATTATTAAAAAAATAATAAACTGATGTTCTAACAGAAGATCCTGTTACCTTTACAATAAATGTTTGCCTAAGGCCCCAGGAGAATAAGACTAAACTTTACTGAATTAGCCATTGCTAATCTTGCTCTTCTTAAAGGTCTTATTAAATTTTACATGTTAAAAAAAACTGATGTTTTATTTTGAACTGTATAAATATGCTAGTCTCAGCTACACCATAAACTGCAGATGATGTTATGCCAACAGCCAGATTTTTTGCATAAATTATTCATGTTTGGTTGCTAATATATATTGCTGCCATTTCCTGATTTGCTCATTATAAAAGTATTTTTGAGAGACATCCAGAACAAGAAATTAACTGCTCTTATTTTAATAAAAAAATTGTGAAACGTGAGAATGTTATTGAAAGGCAATCTAGGATACCCTGGTTCTTTGCAAAATGATTAAATTGTAGGAAATTTACCCCATATTTTACATAATAAGATATTACACAATTTTTGCTCTCATTCACACAACTTTGGCTTAATCTTTGCTCAAAGCTGAACCATTTGCTAAACTTTCTATTTATTCTCTCAGGCAATCAACCTTCAGCTCCCTATTCATGCAAAACATCACATAATCCAAGCTTACCAACTTTATCATACAATATCTCAAAATCACAAATACATAGCAAACTTTCTCCCTCACATTCATAAATTTCTTAAATATTTCCTGAAGATAAAAATTAGGCACCCATCGTGCCTAAAACTCAATACTTTTGCTTATTGTAACATTTTGTACCCTTTTGATCAGAATGCTGGTAAACACCACCTCAGATAGATTGAACAAACTAATCTGTCTCATTTTAA